GAACAACTGTCTCTGTGTTGCTTGAGCGTTCGCGTCGACAGATGTCTGGATCGGGCACGCTGTCGTGAAGATGAACGGGCCATGATCTGGCTGCCGAAATTTTTCATTGCCTTTCTTGCCGACTTGAGTCCAGGATTCGCCGTCCAGCAATCTAACGGATGTCTCTTTCGTCAGCGCCCGTTCACCTGTCGGTCACGTCTGATCTCTTGTCGGAATCGCATCGGCGAGAATCGGACACTGCCGTACAGATTTGGTCCGTTTTCTTTACCATGCCGAAAGATACAAATCGGATCAGAATCGATTGAGAACTGGCGAGAATCGGAAACGAAATTCAGCTGCAAACAGCTACTGAATCGGCGACGCTCCTGAACAATATGCTGATTGTTGCCGTGATTTCAAATGGTTTTTACACATTTTTAATAAAGTTTGAATTTCCCGCCACGAATCACAGGATCTTGATCAGACTTTTGATAAATTTTAATCGGGAATGGTCCTATAATGGACTGCAGTAAAAATCCTGAATGTGTGATTGAGCCTTTACTGAACAACACCATACGGAAACCGACGCCGATAGATTTACTTCTTTAATTTATTCTACTTAGCTCAGAGCGTCTATTTGTTAATCATGATCATTCTCCTACTCATGTCGCAGACGTTGTACCTAATATATGTTCATATATATCGTGCACTGCTACGTACCGGACACTGGTAGTTCAGGGATGGAATTAATGTTTTGTGATTGCCGGGGAGAGTCCAGAAGTATCCCTGTCTCAAACATTCTATCTGCACAGGTAGGTGTAGCGATAGCCTCAATGAAATGCAATAGCCCAAGTCAATGATCACCCCTACAATCGCTGTTTTTCTCATCACAATAGCAACGGTAACATGTATAGAATAGAGCGCAATCGGCCGCGTTTATCTATCAACTCAAGTCTTTTTCCAACGATACGGTCACGACTCTCGCTTCCAATGCGGTGAACACGGAAATATCGCGCGTTTACACCTAGTAACTAATAGTATAACCGTCAGCAAATAGGAACGCATAAGATTCATATGATTGCAACGCATACTAATCCATGTGTATCTGTAGTTCCTTCCATTACAACGTGTGCTTGGAGTGGTGTAGATATGGGACTTGTTCTAATGCTACGGAGCGTAACGCATTATATATAATATAATATTATGTACTTGACATTGGGCATAACATCGCGTAATAATATGGAATCACGAATACTACATGCATAATATAGTAACTTACACATTATACACAATTACACAATTATGCACATAGTGACTTGCACGCATTATTATATTTTATGTACTTGTTTGTTAGACATGCGAATTTTACAGCGGTTTACATTATAGATTATAAGGATATAGAGATTATTATTATAAGGACGATAACGAGGTAAAATAACCGAATTAACACAATTTGTAGCAATCGTTTTCGTAACAATGTGTAATATAGTAGCGGGGGTTAATAATAACAAATTGTCAATAATGACATAATGACACTTTGTCCTTTTTAACCCCTGATAGTAAAATATGAAACACAGTAATCCATGTTCACAGATGGCGCATGCCGCTCCGTCACGACACTATGCGTAATAAACACAACTCAATGTTTTTTTCAATACCATTTACATATAATGAATTTTTACGAATAGGTATGATAGTGGATTACACTAGTGGAGAACGATGCAGGGAGACGTAGCTGCATTGTGCTCTAATTCAGGAGCGAGGTCGCTTGAAAACACTATATAGATATAGAGAAGAGATGTAGAGTAGAATATGCGTACATCGAGGCAAATTTAACAAGTAGTACAAGTCCCACAAGGACACATATACCTTTTAGAGTCTCCAGATTAGAGGCGCGAATAACATTATTGACAGGCGATAATAATGGCACATAAGTGTGATAGGTAATAAAAATTTAGAGCAGCCGAACAGCAACAATTTTTTTCGCGACAGCACATACGGTAATACATAGCGCAGTTTAGCGGGTACACGCGTGCTGCCGTGGTTTGAGAGCAACCCTACTTCACTGGCTGCATAAGTGGCAGCAAATGCTTGTCTCAA